ATCGGCAAAGTTCATCGCAGTCTGATACTTATGGCTGCCAATTAAAACCTTATACATTTCAGTAACAGATTTCTCTGAAAAAGATATCAAAATCCAGTGCAGCCTAGAAATCTCCAACTGATTGAAATTATCTTGAGAGATCTGCTCCTGATCATTCAAGTCGGTTTCTTTGCAGCAATCAGATGAATCAAATCCTTCTTCAGATGATATACTATCTAATAAAAAAACATGTCCTTTGAACTTCTGTACCCTTTCCACAATTGGTGCAGAATATACAGAATCATTCTCCTGAACTTTTAAACCCCTAAGGATGTCAAACATGGTGACAAAGCCACTTCCTTTCACCAAAGTGAGAATATGATTAGACCACCAAGTAAAATCTACAATATCCCTTAAATTTTCATCGCAAAGATTCAACTGTCCACCAATCACTTTTGTTTCAGATTTCTCGTGAACAGGAAAATTTAAAAGTGAACTTCTTCCTTTTTCCAGATTAAAGATGTGCAAGCATCCAGTCATATCTAGAGTAGCAACAAACTTTCCTAGTGGTGAGATTAGCACCTTAGGATATGCCAGCTGGCCGGCATATCCTTCGGATTCAGAATATAACCCTTCAAATTGTGTAAAGAGCAATGGTTCCAGATCTAAATCTTGACATTTTCGCCAAACAGAAAGACAGCAGGATCCTGAAAGGAAAGTAAATAGCTAATTGTTATTGCATTAATTGAAAGGTCAAATTAACATATTAAAAGCCCAGCCATGTCTTTTTAGAAGGGATATCTACTACCTAGTACATCTTTACATTGTACTAAATAAAAGACTCATTTACACAGCTCTGCACATTATACCATTAAGAATCATTAAGAACAATGAATCAGTGAAATAGCAAAGGCCTCTGCAAGAATTTTCAAGAATTAAATATACAATACTGAAGTTAGTGACCATGACTTATACAATCACCGCTTTAAATATATACCTCCCATAGATAGAATTCCTTCTTTATTCACTGTACTTGTCCTAGCACATCAGAGATTTAAAGTTTGTCATAAAAATGACATGAGAACATGAGAACATGAGAACATGAATTTTATGAAAGCATACCACTATTCCCACTGGACGTTTGTGCCATGTTAACAGCACTACCAACAACAACGAGCAGAGAAAATTCTGGATAATAGTCTATGCAGAAAACTTTCTGAGGGAACTGCCTTTTCACCATGGAGCTACTAGTTAATAAGTGTACAGAGGAAGTAGAGGTACTTTTCTCTTGACTGATCTCGATGTAACGAAGTGAGCCATCTGAAGCAAGCATAATGAAGCTACACCTGAGAGTATCCCATTTTTTTGAAGGAAAATATGAGATATATTAACATGGCACCAATGTGTTGCAACCCAAATACACAATAACTTTCTAACAGACAAAATATAATAACATGGCACCAAGGCATTGCAACCAAATACAAAAATAACTTACAAGGATATACCTTAGAACATTTATGTTAAATTAAACATTCATGACACTGTATATACTGCAAACTATTCAGACAATTACAACACATGCAAGTATACATGTAATTGCATAATATGTATGCCCATATATGTATGTCACTAATAGATATTTATATATGCATGATCTCTTACAATCAATTAAACCCCCCCCCCCCCCCGCGCCCCCAACCCAATTTGTGGGCCCTGGAGAAAAGTATTAACAGTGGCTCGGAGCAGCAAAGATTTAAATGAAAAAAGAGAAAAACAAAACTTACAAGCAAGATCTCTGTACATCAGTGTCATCCTCTAGAAGCAAGCCCAATATTGGTGAGGACACCTTTAAATGCTTCCTTGTGACTCTAGTTACTTCTTCTCCGTTTGCTTTGATAAAAATGAGTGTATCACAATTGTCAACAACTCCAAGAATGTCATATGATTCTGACCATGTTCCATGAGAAAATGAACTCACACTGCTACCTGAAGATATACAACCAATTGAAAGGATTAAGAAAGCACAGGGAGAATATAAATAAAAAATAAAAGTGGCATAAAAGAGAAACTGGACTGGGGAAGGAACACTCCACCAAGAATTACTTATTTGCTTGGAAAGCCATTTGGAAGAGGATCTTTTAACAGAAAAAGAAAAGAGAAAAAGTACATAAAGATCAATGCAATAATGCTTCCCAATCTCAAGCAAAGTAGCGGATATCCCTCAAGAAACTGTTAGCCTTTGCCCCCAAAGATGCAAAGAGGATAATTTGTCCCAAAGGAACAATGGAGGTGAGTAACAAACCACAGAAAGTCTAGCATTACACTCAATCATAACACCCAAAAACCAGCAAAAAGAGCGGCATGCTGAAACAATCTCACCACCTTCTTCAAATCACCCCTTAAGGAACATAAAGAAAAGCCCACAATGGAAAGGGGACAACCCATCTTTTGAACATGAAAAAGGGACAACCACTTTGAAGCTAGAAGTAGCAAAAAACCTACCCAATAAACCTCTAAGCCATCTCGTAATGCAAAACAAGATGGCAATGGATTCAGCCTCCTTTAAGCACATAACGTACAGATCAAAGAAATTGCAAGGTTAGGTCTGTGAAATTGCAACAAATAGTTAATTGAGCCTGTCCAGAATGATAGTCCAGACAGAAACCTGAGGAAACTTTTGCATTCCACCACACACTAGCAAAAACCTTATCACCGTAACTGGAGTTGTGGGCAAAAGATGGCTAAAGAGTTTGGATAATCTTAACATACCAAAATTCTGGCAAATTATTGCAACACCATCCAAGGAGAGTAATGGTAAGAAGACTGTTAATTAATATTTTAGAAAATTTATCAGCAAATTTTCCAAGTTCTCTGTTTAAGTTGCATCAATAGGGTTTATAGGCTATTAGTAGGCTTCTACTCCTCTAAAAAGTCATTGGACCAGCATGTTACTTTTGATGAACTTGGAGGGCTCAATTAAATCTAATGAACAGAGATCAAGGGTTGTTATTTTAGACCAACAGCAGTTAGCTCATCTCATTCAACACACTACAGCATCTTCATGGTTTTAGCCAGTGAAATGAGGACTCCAGGCAGCAAAAGCAAAGAACGTTTACTCTAGGGTTAGTAGTGGAGGGAGAGGGAGCTGTATAACCACCTCCCTTTTATAATAACATACATATACAGGCAACCCTCCCATTAGGTTAAAAAATTGTATAACAGCCCACACATTGTAATGAAAGAATATAACAGACACATCATATAGATATGATAGAAAAAGAAATTGTATAAGAAGAAATGGGAAATACAACCTAGAGGAGGATAAGCTATCCTCCAAAAGGAAGAAAAAATAGCGATTGCCAATAAGAGATTGCAGCCCAATTCCTCTGTATCATAGAGAGAGAAATTTCCCGGAAAAACCATGAACTTTATTCGAAGGAGAAGGTAAGCACATAATCCCAGAGAATATAAGAGACGTTTGATTAAAACCCCTACCAAAATGACACACAAAAGTAGAAATAGAAATAAAAACCTCCCAAGTTTTAAGGAAGAAATCTACTTTATACCAAATGAGGAAAAATTCTAGCACGAACCTATATAAGCATCGTCACAGTGCAGAAACAAGTTATTATTTTATCTCAAACTACGGAAACACGAGACATGAATCAGCAGAAAGAGCAATTTGGGTGTGCCCATGTGAAGCAAATTATTGCTATTAATTCTGTAAGGACCACTGTCCATGTTGGAAAGTATAAATGTAATTTACTATATAAGGGTATATTAGTCAAAAACTCCTATGTACTTAATTTAAGGTTTCTTGTTTCGTACTCAAATATAGGGCCTAACTATTCAATAATATAATATACTTTCCATTCTTCCACATGATATCAAATCTATAGACAAAATAACTTAATTTTTTCACGAACCCTAAACTGGCCTTTATTGCCACAATGAAAAAACAAAAAACCCTAACTCATACATGGCCTTCATAGCCGACCTTCATAATCACACAAGACCAGATATCGAGTATGCAGTAAGTGCTATAAGCTAATTCATGCACAATCCGACAAAATACACCTACAAACAGCCTACAGAATATTGCAATACTTAAAATGATCACCAAAGAAAGGAATTATACTAAGGAAGAATGACAAAGTGCTCTTGAAAACCTATACTGATGCAAATTATGTAGGGTCAGTTGTAAACAAAAGATATACTACATGCTACTATACCTTTCTTAGAGGCAACCTAGTCACATGGAGAACTATGAGACAAAATATAATTGCGAGATCAAGTGCAAAAATCAAATTTTCAGATAAAGGCACAAAATCTATGTGAACTACTATGAAAAAAAAAAAAATTATAAAATCAAGTGGAAAAAATATATGCATCTATACTGTAAGAACAAGTCCGCTATAAGTATCGCTCACAATCTGATGTAACATGACGGATCAAAACATTGAGATTGACAGGTACTTTACGAAAGAAAAATTTGACAGCGACCTAATATATATACCATATATATCCACCAATACTCAACTGGTAGACATATTAACTAAAGGTGTAAGCAATCTAGTATTTCAAATTCTTCTTGTCAAGTTAGGAATAGACAACATCTATTCCCCAACTTGAGGGGATGTATTAAAGAAGAAAAAAATCAATGTATTAAAGATGGAGTAAATCAAGTTAAAATGCATATTTGTTAAAGAGAAAATAAATAAAGGTGTTAGAGAAAGAAGCAAATTAGGTTAAAATGTATAAAGGTAAATTACACCCTTTATAATTAATTGTAGTTATTAGTCTATTTCCTTTTCTTTAGTCCTTGAAATCTTATATATATAGGATTGTAATATTTAATAAAATACATATAAATCAAAAAACCATTCTAAATAGGAAGCATCCATTAATTTTTTTGCCATTAAGAAAAGTGATTTAGTTATGGGTGATGGTATCACTTAACACCTTTTGCAACCTAGTGGATAACACCTTTCTAATGATTTTATAAACACTCATCATTGGGCTTATTGAGCAATAGTCTTATCGCTTTAAGAGACCAATCCATCTTGGGCGCCAATGTAATGAACATCAAGTTCATATTAAACGCTCATCACTGGGATTATTGAGCAATAGTCGACCACCTTTAAGAGATCAATCCATCTTGGGCACCAACGTAAGAAAGTCGAGTTCATTCTAGTGCCAATTTTTCCATTTTGGGAAACCTTCTCAAAGCCTCTTCCAATCATTGAAGGAAGCCATCAAAACTTAATTCCAAACCACTTATCTAATCTCCACTACCTCAAAACATTTCTCAAGCCATCAAACTTTCAAGGAAAGGTCGATTTACATCTCCTTTTTGAAGTTGAGTTAGGTAGCAAGGGGTTCTATTATAGCATAAAATTGTAGGTAATAGCATAGGGTGAATCTCTTCCTATCCTAACTTAATTTATTGTTAGGTACTTTGTATTGTTTCTCAACCTAAGGCTAATAGAGAATGGACTATCATTAGATTTCCTAAATAAATTAGAAATTATATCATATTAAATGTAACACAATTGTATTATTTACGAATCTATTTTTTTAATAAAAAATATAAAATATGTATTGATATTGGCACTAGGGAGGTGCCCACCCATGTACAAAAAATTTACAACTCAATTAAAATATCAACGAAACTCTCCAAATCCTCTATTAAGTGAAGAGGACCAAACAGTAAAAAACCAAATGTTTAGAACCATCTATTGTTTAGAAAGTCAAAATCATCCACATCATCTACCCCATTAAAAGCATTTTTGTTCATCTCCTTCCTCACAACCCAAAAGATGGTAAGTGTTATTAGCTCCACACATTTTCTCCTTCCTCCCATAACCTTCCACGCCCAGATTTCATCCTTACTAATAACCTGAAATCACCCAACTTATGCCTAATAGACTATAAACCATAGTCCATACCTTGTGGACTATAGGACATCGCAGTAAAACATAATTGCAATTCTCTTCAACCCTCTTGCAAATATAACAAACGTTCACCAAAACCTTACACCGTCTCTTTAATTTATCAATTGTCAAAATACACTTCCTGCTATCCTCCCATGCAAAACAATACACGAGGTGGGACTCTTGTCTTCCAAATCTGTCTAAACAGGAGAGAATAACTATTTCCATCATGCTTGAACAACTGCTTATAAAATGACTTTACTGTGAAAAACCCACTGTCTTTTTTTTCTTTTTGAGATAAGAAGAATGCAGTATTTTAAATCATACGGCACCAAGGGCGTGCCATCCATTTACAAGATATTTATACTTCATTATATCCATGACATTTCCAAAATCTTCCAACCTATAAATGTCATGACCCAAAATCAAAAAATCAAAAACATGTATCTATTTATCCATAATTCTAGCCATTTCCCCCTCACACTCTTCAAATGCTCTACTATTCCTCTATTTCTACACCACCTAAAAAATAATTAAAGGAATAAGATTTACAAATTTTTTCTTTGTACATGTCTCATCCCACACCCATAATTCATCTCTTAGTAGTCCCACAATAACCTAGTTAATCCCTAACAGACCATACACCATTATCCAAATGTTAGACGCCACTGAACACCAAAGAACAAAGTGGATTCAATAGCTTTCTTGCACATATGGCAACCATCACCAAAA